GGGGGGGGGGGGGGGGGGGGTTATTAAGGTCAACAGCTGTTGTAAATAGTCATATGGAATCAAGATGTCGTGAGAAAAAAGAACTCCAAGACCTTCGGTAGGAATATCTACTAGAAGCAGTATTGGTAGCATGAATTTCCTAAACATTTCAGTCTGTTAATTCATGCTTAAGTTCACTGAACAAATGGAAAGCCGAAAATTAATCAGTCATTGATCCACGAGGACTGTTGAAATGTGCTACGAAATAAAAATGCACAGTTGGTATTAAATCCATCACCCAGGGTTTTAATGAGAGTTTATGATTGCAGACGAATACATCCACAGTGCGCTGGATTTTACAGATGGACTGTAGCTCATCACAACATTAACTTATTAAGTGTACCATTTTGGATCTTACCGTGCCTTGTGCACCAAAATTGGAACGATAAACAATGGAAACCCGTCACATGGAGCGAAGATGGTTTACTGCTATTCATTGTTTACTCTGATTGAAAGGAATCACAATTTTTCGGCAATTTGGAGAACATTTTAGATATGGTTGTGTCAACCCAATTATAAATACTTGTGAGACAAGTATAATGTTTGGACCAGTTTAAGTTAATTTGGATTTGATACATTAGTATAAGTTAAAGGATCTACAAAGGTATTCCTGTAATGTAATATCTCTATTGCGTGTATTGGTAACATTAGACTGTTAAAAACAACTAAAGAATAATTAATTGTTTTTATATTCTATCGACGATGACGCGAAACTATTGTTACTAAATACTTTCAATGGCACCCTCAGCTAATGTTTGTGCTACACAAATGCAAAAGACTTCGCAACCAAACTAATGACCTAAAAATGTTTCTTTATAAGGAGTGTGATCATCCTAACGCTAATGCGAGTCACACACATCGAATTAGGCCTAAAATATGTGAATCAATTAGTTATTGGGATAATATTGCACACTTCTTCATCAGAGCTGCTTACGGTTCATGAACACTTCTTGGAGGTAAATCACGTGATGCCTTGCAGTTTCCTAGATCATCCTTTAAATGACCAATCAGATTTAAGTACGATGAGCATATTGGCCAGTCCATTCCCTCGATACGGGAAGCTGCTAAACAGTTGAAAATTATCGTTTATCAGAAGGAAGTTCTAGTCGAATGCCCCTGCATACTGTGACATCATTGATGGTGAGATTGCATCCCAATACAGCATAGGTTTCACAGTGCCATACTGCAGCATACAAGAGTCAGTGTAATCTTCAATGTTAATCCCTGTAAGAACAAGTATGCCACCACTGCCATAGTTGTTTCTTTCCTCCGTGACTTTGGAATTGAATTACGTCCGGGCCACTCTTCAAACGTGTGCAAGTCTCGCGTCTGGCTGCATTGTGAAGAAAGATTTCTCTGTGAACAAGACATTCGCTCATATGGTATTTGATCAATCTACATGTCATTAACACCACAAAAGGCAGGCTGTTTTGTGGCAATAAGTAGAGGAACCATTGGTTGGTTGTCCAGCGTAAAGGGCAAGCTTATGAAGTCTTGTTGTCCAGTTACTGCTCTGAACTGTTTATTTAATTGGGAAGTTGAGATCCGCCAGTTGCTTCGAACCTATATTGTCAATGAGCTGTCATCTCATTGGTTTCTCAACAATGGTATAATATGTCAATGAGCACACATCATGTTAACGTTTTTTCACTGAACCCCTGACTTATATTTTCCATTTTCAATCGTATCTATTTACACATACTCCTATTTATCAGACAATTATCTGAGAACAAACTATGTTTCATTCACTTCTAAATACCAGTGAGATGTGTATATCAAGACACATAACCTATCATGCGATACTTGTGTTGCATAAAAATGAACTCATGGATACCGTTTACATTATTTAATGACTGCAACTGTGCTTGGTCATAGCTAGAAAAATAGAAAATTATATTATTTCTTAACTATTTGGGTCCTGAAGGAGAATCATACCCTTTTTCGTTAAAATAGTACTCCATGTTATTCCATATGATTGTTAACTGTGATGTAAGACAGATATTTCCAGAATTTGCATTGCTCTGGAAAGAGTCCCAGAGTGAACCAATTAAATTACTTAAGAAGGCTTTGTAACGCCGCCTGAGAAGAAGAAAAATATAGACTACAAGATCCCATCACACTCGGGGCTAAGTTAAAATGGGAGTCGTAGCGAGCTGTTTTCTCGTGAATAATTTATAAAGTTTAGAAATTAGGAAAGAATGAATGGTTGTTATATATATGTTACATATGATCAACTGTTTTGTTAAATGTTCTAGAATAATATATCATTAATATAAAGTATATGTGGTTTTAATATTAATATTAAGAAAACGTTTAAGTAACTTATACAATTGCGGATCTCAGCTTTTGTTTGAATACTTTGAAATTTTAGTTTCATAAGAATCCAGGCTGTGATTATCAATATTATTATTGATTGATTATCAAACCCAATCAATATTAAAAATTAAACAAAATATGTTGTCCCATTACCTTATGGCAATATAGTGTTTTAATGTGCAATATTTCTCATGAATTAAACGAGCTAAGTGATTAAAAATACTTAATAAGAAACAATCAGATTTATATTTGATAACTCCCCAGTGGCACAGCGGTATGTCTGCGGACTTACAACTCTAGAAACCGGGTTTCGATACCCGTGGTGGGCAGAGCACAGATAGCCCATTGTGTAGCTTTGTGCTTAATTACAAACAAATATATTTGATAAAACCATCCTTCAAAGTTTTCTTGTACTCACAATAGATACCTTAAGCATATACATAATGATATACACTAAAACTTGCTAAATATTGCATTTTTATGCAGAGTGTTAAATAAGAACTTTTTGTTCATATTTTCAATAACTCTCTGTCTCTCTGAATATCAAATATGTTCAAATAAGCAAAGGGAAAATTTTGCATAATCTAATTGCTTTTTACTCTCTTCTAATTGACAGCTTTAGTAATTATAGACACACAAGTAATATTTTAGATGGTAATCTTATTAGGCCTAAAAGGTTTTGTTTTCAGAAAATTATATTTTTGTTTATTGGAATATTCCATGGTTAACATCTGAATTAAATAGCATAAAATTTCATTATATTTGTTCAGTAATATTGATTGGATGAAGAATATTTTATATCTTGTGCTACAACATGCCTAGAACTCAAGGTTCTCTCGAATTGTTAGATTTTGTTAGAGGAAGGATAGTTGGTCAAGCAGATGGTGGAATAAGTCAGCGGCAAATTTCCCGCTTTCGACAGTC